GGCAGAATTCAGGAACTTGCATTGTTGCCGTAAAGCGGGTTTCAGATGAGAAAACCACCCCTTCCTCATACCTGGGGGACCAGAAAAAGCATAAAGGATTTCAACACAATCTGCTCAACCTATCTGGGTCAGTTTGTAGAGCTACGTATCAGCTCTGCGGCGACTATGAGTTGCATCCAATGAAACCTTACTTAAGTTAACTGAAATGAATGGACCCAAGTCCATTCATTAGGTCTACTCTGAATAGCACTGGACATAGCTCCATGCCCCACTTAAAGAAATCCAAGCCACCATTGAAACTAACCGAAGGTTTGGCTCATAACATGAAAGGTGGGTAAAACCTCCCCCCCCCCCCGGTCTACTCACCACTTCCAAGCGGAGCTTCCAAAGGAGCGATCGTTAATACGCTGAAATATCTTCATTGTTTTTCTTTGCACAAGTCACAGAGAAACCCACAGCAAGACTCAACAGCAGAAAAAAGGCCTTGAAATAATCTTTTGGAGCCGAACTACTACCTTGCAAAAAACATCACGCCCGCCAAGTTCAGATAGCCTCTGTTTTCAGATTGCTTTGGTCAAAATGAAATGAAACCAAACCAAACCAAACCAGCCTTGCCATTTCATAAAGAAGCAGTTCCCCATAAAAAGGAGGCTAAAAGTTGCTTAAACAAAAGGATCCCAAAAACTACCAGATTAGAAAAAGGAGGAGCAAAACCTTAGCGTATTTGTTAAATATTTTTTTCGGCCAGGTCAGTCTGCATAACAGCAGCTTACCAAAAAAAAAAGGGGGGGGGAGAAAACCCCACGAAAGGGGTTTAATCAACACCAGACGGCTTAGTGTGCCTTCCTGCAACACTTAGGAAACCGCTGCAAGTTTAATCTTGGATTTTGTTAAATTCCTCTTATTAAAAGGCAACAGGAAAGAGAGAGCACAGCTTTCAATTTGTGTGTGTGTGTGTGTGTGTGTGTGTGTGTGTGTATGCAGGGGGTGGGGAATTAAAAAAAAATTTTTTTTGAAGCTACATGTATTAAAAAAAAAAGTCAAGTTTTGAAGAAGGATGAAGATCTCCCGGTAGAATTTTAAAAGCTCAGCTGCCTTCTCCCTTCTTGCCTGGCAAAGCGGCTCCCTAGCTTGAAGGCTATTCTAGACTGCTGGGGTTACGATCTGCTGTCTGTCTGGGCAATTAAAGAGCTCTAAGTGCCTCCTGGAAAGCCTCTGGGCTGGACTAATCTCAACACATGCTGCCATTATATCCCTGCTCGCCCCAGAGGGAGGAGCAGCAGCAGCAGCGGCTGCTCAGCTGCCAGAATCTGGTGATAAAAATGCATGATGTAAGTCCAAAGTTGAGTAAGTGGCAATCATCCCTTAACCCTTCGGCTCCCAAGCCGTAGGAGGCAGACTGAATCCTCACGGGGTGCAACAGAAGAGGAGTGTGCTTGCAAGATACTCTCTTCAGGGATGTGATAAACAGGGAGCAGGTGATTTGTTAGGTCTCATCTGCACGAGACAGGTTTCCACTCACCTGCCAGTCAGCAAACCTCTTCCCTTGACTCCCTTGTGTGCTAAAATTGGCAGGTGGGCAAGAGAGAGGAGCCACAGGAAGCTGCCTTATACAACGTCAGGCTATTGGAGCGTCTGTCTCAGTATTGCCTACACTGACTGGCAGCAGCTCTTCAGGGTTCCAGGTATTTCCCCCAGCCCTACCTGGGGATGCTGGGGACTGAAACTGGAACCTTCTAGCAGTGTTAGAAACTCAGATATTTAATTTAATCGCCAAATGGCAAATTAAACCTAGGTTACGGTCGCCACAGTGGAATGTCCGGGTGCTGTTTTTTGAAAATGAATATTATCATCATCATCATCATCATCATCATCATCATTTCTACAGCTTTTCATTTTAAAGAACAAATCTCAAAGTAGTTTACAACACATTAAAAAAGTAAATAAAACAATCCAAAATAAAACAAATTCAAGCTTTGAGGGAAAATATTTCACATCCTTCTCTAAATGGCATTTTGCTTTCCAAAGTCATCAACCTGGCCTCCAGAGATCTTCACGTGGTCACAATTGGACCCAAGCCAGTCGCTAAACGTGCCTGGCTAATTTCTAACACTGCCTCTTACATGCTACAGTAAGTGGATGCTCTACCACTGGGATATCCTTTTCCCTAAGGATAAACTAAGTTTCTAGTCCTCATGCTTCTGAATAAAGGGTTGATTTAAATAAGAAGCTGCCTTATGCAGTCAGATCATTGCTTCATCTAGTTTAATATAGTCACTGAATGAGGCTCTCTGGGGTTTCAGACTTGGGGGATTTTCCCAGCCCCACCTGGAGATACTAGGTTTTGAACTTGGGACCTTCTGCATGCAAAGCAGGTGCTCTAACCACTGAGCTACGGGACTTCCCTGAATGGTCAGCTTGCCTTTGGCTATTACAGTGGGGAAGTGGCTGAGCCGGGGGGGGCACTAAGCAGAAGATAATGCGATTTAGAAAAAAAGGACCAACATCTGTAAAAATCTGACGGTCAGCCACACCTTGAAGCAACTGGAAGAGGAAGTGGACTCACCCACACCCTGCCTCTTTTGGTTTTGGAAAGTACAGATCAAGGAGGAAGAGGAGTGGGACACAAAAGAGAGAGAAAATTAAGAGCGCAGGCCGCTCCGTTCAATAAGTGTTGTGCTAGAGCTAGACAAATATTAACAGTGTCTCCTGGCAGGTGATGTTCGAGGTGGCATTGACTAAGCTAGTTCACCCAGTTGCATGGTGTTTGCTCCCATCCATCCCTCTGGACCAGAATTAAACAAAGTGAGGGGTGGGGAAGACTGGTCTGCCAAAAGCAAACAGGGGAATAATGTTTCAAACACCCGTATCAGGACTGAACCCAAGTTGATCTAAAACAACCTTCACCAACCTGGTGCCCTCAAGATATTTTGGACTACAACTCCCATCAGTCCCAGCTAGCATGATTACTATTAAAAGCAACCACTAGCTGACTGACATGTTGGAAGCTGCCTTATAAGCTAGCTCAGTTGCTATCTACACTGATCAGCAGCAACCCTTTGCTTAAGACAGAGGAATAGAGGAAGCTGCCTTATACAAACCATTGGTCCATCTGGTTCAGTGTTGTCTACACTGACTGGCATTAGGGACGCAGGTGGCGCTGTGGGGTCTAAATCACTGAGCCTCTTGGGATTGGAAGGGATTGCTTCCTTGGCCTGAAGCGAGATGAGTGCCGCAATCCCACAGTCGCCTTTGACTGGACTTAAGAGTCCAGGGGTCCTTTAAAAAGTAAAGGGACCCCTGAGCATTAGGACCAGTCATGGCCGACTCTGGGGTTGCGGCGCTCATCTCTTTTTATTGGCCAAGGGAGCCAGCGTACAGCTTCCGGGTCATGTGGCCAGCATGACTAAGCCGCTTCTGGCGAACCAGAGCAGTGCACGGAAACGCAGTTTACCTTCCCGCCGGAGCGGTACCTATTTATCTACTTGCACTTTGACATGCTTTCAAACTGCTAGGTTGGCAGGAGCTGGGACCGAGCAACGGGAGCTCACCCCGTCGTGGGGATTCGAACCGCCAACCTTCTGATCGGCAAGTCCTAGGCTCTGTGGTTTAACCCACAGCGCCACCCACGTCCCATAGGGGTCCTTTACCTTTTTTACACTGACTGGCAGCAGTTCTCTGGGGTTTCTGGAAGGGGACATTCCCAGCCCCACCTGGAGATGCTGGGAATTGAACCTTCTGTATGCAAAGCAGACGCTCTGCTACTGAGTCATGGCCCTTCCCCTGTCGCATGTTATGCGATTCCTTGACATCCTGGTCACAAAGGTGTCACCCATTCTATAAAACCTGCACACACACTTTAGAAAGCGACGTGGTAAAACAAACAAGTACGAAAAATCTTTACTTGTTTCCCACTGCGTGCAAAAGATGAAATTTGGGTGTGAAATGTAATAAGTAAGAACATGGGCTCCATGTTTTACACCACTGAAGACACCTACAAACCAAAGGAAAACTTTAAAAGAGGCCTGGATAACTGTATGAAGAACTTTGCCATACAGTTTTGATCAGCTCTTCTGCCTGTTTCATTCACTGGACAATGACTGAAAGTGACATGCATGGCTTAGACTGATGCAGATTTTAATTGTGCATAATACTTGAAGACATGGCCCAAATAAGTAGCGCTGTTAATTATTTCCGATTGAAAATTTTCAATAAAAATTAATTAAAAACAACAACACCGCCTGATTATACAAGCATTAGAATATAAATACCCGTAATTATAATACACAATAAAACAAATCCAATTAAAATACTAGAATATAAGTATCCATAACTAAGATGCGGTAAAACAACAGAACAATTAACACACCCCAAATTTTAAACTGACAGTTTGGTAGGCTATGGCCTGGATTGAAGAACCCAAAAGTAGATTGCAAGGTAAGACCACAGTTGGACTGACATCTCTAGAAAGCTTTCTGAACCAGCTTTGCAGCAGAGCATCATCTGTTTACCACTGATGGCCGACACCTATTCCCAAGGAAACACCTGCTACCTTTTGAGACATGGCCTCCTCCTCTATTGGATCAGAACCTGGGAGCCCTCAAAAGCCTTTGCACCTCGGCTGTCCATTTATGAAGATGCTACATCAAAACAGGGTAAACCTACTCATGCTTTACAAAGCAATAAAGCTCCTGTAAACAGAACACCTCATGGTAAGTTCGGGCAATAATGGCTTCAAATAATAATAATAATAATAATAATAATAATAGCCAAAGCAAGCAAGCAATTCAATGGTAACTGCAAACACGCAAGCACATCGGTATAACTCCATTTCAGCACAGCACCCTGTATTGCCATAAATGGGCAGCCAAATCTATGAATGAACGCAGCTGAAGAAGACACAAGTATGTATGGGAATGAATGAATATGTTTAATTATTTAACAGCAGAGAATCAGATGAATGGGATCAGGACCTTTTCCCCGAAGGCGGAGGCACTTACATGATAGTTTTGGGATTCTGCAGCATGCAGGCTTTTGGTCCAAATGTGGTCACTGGGCATGGTCCGTGCAAGGAGCGCGTCCTCCTGAAAGAAGAAGGAGACAGTTTAGTTAAGTTGCTGGATTATCTAAGGTTCTTGGAGAGACTTTTCAAAAAGAGGTTGTTGTTTTTTAAGGCAGCCCCAACTTCATGCACAAAAGCATCATGATAATAAAACAGGATTCATATTCAGCTATGGCCCTCGTTTCCTAAAAAGCATTTCTAAGATTCCTCAAATGGAGCTGAACTGAGTTCCCTGGTGCAGGATATGAGCTAGAAGCCCTGAAGCAGCAACAAGGGGGGGCGGTGTTATTGTATCGTGTCCCTTTACGAACTATGACAGCCTCCAGAGTGATTTGTGCAAGGGAAGGAAGCTTACAAATTGCATAATATGCAAACTGCATCTTGAATGACTAACAGACGCACTTCGCCTTAGCTATCCTACGTTTCCCTAGCACAAGTAAATCATTAACACACTCACACAGTCCGCCTGAATGGCATTATATCATTAGAGCTGGAGAGGGACATTTCGTACATTCGCAACGGTGAATCTTCCATGCTTAAGGGTTGTATCCAATGCTGGCCCCACTCAGAATAGATCCACTGAAGTTAATGGGCATGACTCACTTGGGTTCTTTGTTTCAATGGGCCTACTCTGAGTAGAACTTAGTTGGCTTAGTTTTTTAAACATAACATGATTGTGTTTTAAAATTATGCATCCACGACAATCCAAGTTCTGTGACAATCCCACTCCCCCCTAAAAAATTGCACTGCGTTTTGCACCCTGAATAAATCGAACCAATTTGCCTGGTTGTGCTTATTTTGCATAATCTATTCTACCTAACTATATAAGGGATCATAGGGCTTGAAGCCTCTGGAAACTTTGTTCAGCAACTCCCCTTTCAGCTTCTGAGATTTCTGCTAGCATGGCCTGCACTCTTTCAAGCAAATCTTATGTGTTACCTAAGCGCTTGCCTGGTCACCACAGGCAACAAGAAACTGCTGGCTGGCGAATGAGCTGGCTGGTGGAGCAGGGGCAGAACAAAAAATGCAATGGGCTGCTGCAGCATGGAAAGAGATTTCTGCCCCTCCTCTGCCAGCCTCTCTCCCCATCAGGTAAAAATTATTGTGGGCTAGTAACTTTGGTGGGATAGGGACGCGGGTGGCGCTGTGGGTAAAAGCCTCAGCGCCTAGGGCTTGCCGATCGAAAGGTTGGCGATTCGAATCCCCGCGGCGGGGTGCGCTCCCGTTGCTCGGTCCCAGCGCCTGCCAACTTAGCAGTTCGAAAGCACTCCTGGGTGCAAGTAGATAAATAGGGACCGCTTACTAGCGGGAAGGTAAACGGCGTTTCCGTGTGCGGCTCTGGCTCGCCAGAGCAGCGATGTCACGCTGGCCACGTGACCCGGAAGCGTCTCCGGACAGCGCTGGCCCCCGGCCTCTTAAGTGAGATGGGCGCACAACCCTAGAGTCGGACACGACTGGCGCGTACGGGCAGGGGTACCTTTACCTTTAACTTTGGTGGGACTCTTTTACAAGGCCACCAATTGGGCTAGAAACTTCCTTCTTCACTTTTTAAACCAGAAGCTCAAAAAGTGAGCTTCTAAAGTGCCATGAAACTGTGCCACACATACAGGCTAGGAAGCAAAGCCAAATGCATAAGCTACTACATGCCTATGATAAAAAAAGAGGTAGTGTGGCAATACGGGTTTCTTTTATATATACAGTGGTACCTCGGGTTAAGTACTTAATTCGTTCTGGAGGTCTGTTCTTAACCTGAAACTGTTCTTAACCTGAAGCACCACTTTAGCTAATGGGGCCTCCTGCTGCCGCCGCGCCACCAGAGCACGATTTCTGTTCTCATCCTGAAGCAAATTTCTTAACCCAAGGTACTATTTCTGAGTTAGTGGAGTCTGTAACCTGAAGTGTATGTAACCTGAAGCGTATGTAACCCGAGGTACCACTGTACAATTTTCTGTTACAGTCATAAACAGTAGCAACTTTTAACACACCCTGGTAGTACTAGGTTTCTGGTCACATTACCCATTTTCTTCTTTGAAATTGGAGGCAAACCTATACCAAGGCAGCAGGGTGCTGCACTTAGGTTGCAGTCCCCAGTAGAGCGGCATGATCTGAAGGTGGAAGAGCAGTTTGGTACAGGAGTCCTGCCACGGACAGCAAAATCCCCCAGCATTCTTCTTCCTCTAACCCCCACCCCTGCTCTGAGCAGTAAAACCGAACACGGCATGAGATGGCGCCACAGCACTGTGGAACTTCCCGGCTGTTGCAAGGCAGGCCAAGCCAAGCAAAGCACAACACAGTCAGGAAATTCCAAAACGCAGCGGAAGCCAGAGTGTTTTCTCTCTAGCAGTTCTGGAGGGTGGTTTCCCACCCCTGGTTCTCCCAAGCAGCCCTGGTTGGGATGCTAATTAGTGAAAGACAACTGCCGCAGGGTCAGGGGGAGCTCCTTGCGGTCTCCCACGTTTACGATGCAAACAGCACTTTCGAGAGAGGTGGTGTGGACGCTGACAACCCCTTCCTCCATGAGTAGGCTTGGTGCCAGCAGTTGTCCAGCTCAGGAACTGGCCTTGGAAGGGCCCCCCATGCCGGCCAGACTCAGCCATGCTGCCATTCTCCACTTTCCCTGCAGTGACGCTTTCAAACGGGGGCCAAGCCCCGCTCTCATCAACGGCAGGCGTTATCCATTTTTAAGTGACACAAAATGTAATGCTTAGGCCCACAGATCTATATATTTTACTGGTTCCATGGATCTGTGGGGTGGGTAGATTTCACAGGACTAACCCTACACCTGCTCTGGTTTGTGGATCATCAGCACCATGCTAACGGCCCCCTAAAGTCTGGAACCAGCTCTGTCCAGAAGTATCTGCACCAGCCAGCATTTTTTGTGTGTCCTTTTTGGTGTGTTTAGCAATGTGACCCAGTGTGCTGAGTTTCTGGAGATTAAAATACCACCAAGAACGCCCTGTCGGAATGGTCCGACACCTCACTGCAAGAAATGCTCTTAGTTTCAACATTATTCAACCTAAGTTCTCTTAGGTACAACATTATTATACGCCACAAGCTCAGCCTTCAGAAATGCATGACTAACGCACTGTCGCAAATTGGCCATCACAAGTTACTAGTCCTCCTGCCCACAACACACCTACGTGGCACAATGCAACAAGCTAAATAAGAGGGCTGGTCTTCTTTGGCTTCTCAACCAGGCAGTCTGGAGGCAAATTCACTTTGGCAGGTGACCAGGGAAGTCTCAGAAATAAAAGCACACCTCCCTGATTACCTGGGGCAAATGAACATTGCCTCCAGAAAAGTGTGAAATGAATGCATGAATATAGACACCGCAGGACACAGTCACACACACACAATCTTCCAATATCTAAAGGGCTATGATATGGAGGATGGAGCAAGCTTGCTTTCTCCTGCTCCTGAGACTAGGAGCCGAACCAATGGGTTCATGTTACAAGACAGGGGATTCTGAATAAACATCAGAAGACCTTTCTGATGGCAAGAGCTGTTCAACAATGGAAAAGACTCCCAAGAGAAGTGGTGGACTCTCCTTCCTTTGAAGTTTTGAAGCAGAAGTTGGAAGGCCACCTGTCATGTATAATCTAGCTGAGATTCCTGCATTGCAGGGGGTTGGACTTAAGATGACCCTCACAGGCCCTTACAACTCTATGATTCTATGAAAGTTTAAGGCCACTCTCTACAAGGTCTCCTCCAGAAGTTGAGACTCCAACTCCCATCATCCCCTACCACGCTAATCATGCTACCTGGGGCTGATGGGAGATGGAGTCCAACAACATTTAGAAGGCCCAAAGTCACACCCAGTGAGTTCCTTGGCCAAGTGGGGATTTGAACCACCATGGGCTTAGCCACCTCAGCTAGGCCAACAGTTTCCACTGCCATCCTCCAGGGCAAGGAAACTGGGCTGAGGAGAGCAGGAACTTGCTGAGCTAATGAAAGAGGCAAGTCTTCCCTTGCTAATGATTGGTAACATAGGATACCACCTCTTAGAAAGACAGAAAGCCGAGACCACATAACATCAGTCTTGAAAGATCTACATTGACTCCCTGTACATTTCCAAGAACAACTCAAAGTGTTGGTGCTGACCTTTAATGCCCTAAACAGCCACGGCCCAGTATACCTGAAGGAGCGTCTCCACCCCAATTGTTCTGCCCGGACACTGAGGTCCAGCGCCTTCTGGCGGTTCCCTCACTGCGAGAAGCAAAGTTGCAGGGAACCAGGCAGAGGGCCTTCTCAGTAGTGGTGCCCACCCTGTGGAAGGCCCTTGCATCAGATGTCAAAGAAAAAACAACTATCTGACACTTAGAAGACAGCTGAAGGCAGCACTGTTTAGGGAAGTTTTTAATGACTAATGTTTTAATGTATTTTTAATCTTTTGTTGGAAGCTGCCCAGGGTAACTGGGGAAACCCAGCCAGATGGGCGGGGTACAAACAAACAAATATAGTAAAAATAAAAGTAAAATAAAATCACAGATTAGGTAACTTTTGCGAGCTCATCTACAAGACTGCCTTAAAGCCCATGGTTCCCCTTCTAAAACACAATTTTCCCCCCGAAACAAAAATACAGATTCTCAGAGTATTGCATGCTTCGTAATTGTTACTAAATCAAAGCACAGATTCTCAAGAGTTCTGCATCCTTTAAAACTATCTTTTTCCCACTGAACAAAAGCATAGATTCTCAGAATTCTGTGTCCAGTAACAATACCTACCCTTTGAAAATGTGAGCATGCCAACAAGCAGTGGCAACACACCCACACTGCGGAACTCCCTGCCTACTGACATCTTCTTAGGCACCTGCTGAAAACATTTTTGTTTAGGCAAGGCTATCCAAATAGGATATTGGCATGCTTTTAATCTCTTTTTAGCTCATCATTGATTTTAACCATTTTTAAAATGTTTTAAATAGTTGTTTTTATTTGTCCACCCCCCGCAATCAATGCGTTGCTTTCTTCTTTCTGTAAACTGCTTTGAGGTTTTATTACGATCAAGTGGTATATAAATCTTGTT